AATGATCGAGGATGCTTGGAGGATTCTTGAGGATTTTTGAGGGATTACCGATGATTCCTGAAGGTTTCTGGAGGATTCCTGAAAGATTCTTGAAGGTCTCTCAGCCAATAGAATTCTGGAAGATTGCTTGAGGATTCCTGAAGGATTCTTCGAGGATTCTGGAAGGATTCGTCCGGATTCCTGAAATATGTCGGAGGGGTCGTAAGGCTTATTTGAGGATTCTTGAGAATGTCTGAAGGATTCCTGCCAGATTCCGGGCGGATTCTTCACGGATTCCTGATTGATTCCTGACGAATTCCCGTCCTATCTCCGGAGGGTGTCTGAGGGATTCTTGAGGGATTCTGGAGGGATTCCTTAAGGACTCTTGTGGATTCCTGGGGGACCCTGGGCGGATTTGTGAGGGACCCTTGCGGATCCCTGAAGATTCTTTGGGCATTTCTGATGATTATTGAAGAAAGCTTGAGAATGCCCGAAGGGTTCTTGTGAATTCCAGAAGGATTCAGTCGGATCCCCAGGGGATGTTCGAGGATCCCTGAGGTATTCACATGGTTTTTCAAGGATTCTAGAAGGATCCCGGAGGATTCTTCATGGATCCCGAACGGATGTCCGATGGATTTGTGTTACGGATTCCTGAGGATTTTTTGAGGGAGTATGGAGGGATTCCTGAGTGGTTCCGGAGGGATTCATGAGAGACTCTTGCGGTTTCCTGAGGGACTCTGGAGGGATTCCTGAGTGATTCTTGCCGAGACTTTGGGGATTCCTGAGGGACCCCGGGGATTCTTGAGGGGCTCTTGCGTTCGTGATTCCTCATGCGTCCTCCGTCGTGGTCGCGCTGTCAATCGTCAGTCGTCCGTCGTCAGTAGTTCATCGTCGTCGTGCTATCTCTCGCGCACGCGCCGCTGCCCGTGGGGAATGGAAGGATAGGGAAGTGCAGGAGGAGGAGGAGGGGGAGGAGGACACTTTGGAGAAGGAGGAGGAACATGGGAGAGGATAAGAGCAAGATGGTGATGGCGATGGTGATTATGAAGATGACGATAGTGATGATGATGATGATGCGGATGCTGATGCTGATGATGATGATGATGATGATGATGATGATGATGATGATGATGATGTTGGTATTGATGCTGATGCTGATGCGAATGGTGCTGATGATGCTGATGGTGATGGTGATGATGCTGATGATGATGATGATGATGATGATGATGATGATGATGATGATGATGATGATGATGCGCGGGACGGTGATGATGACGATGGGGATCAGGAGGGCGAAATGGGGCATGAAGGGAGGAGGGGGATAACGATTAAGGCGGAAGAGATGGAAGGGAGGTTGACTGGAAATTGAGGGGCAATAAGGAGGAGGAGGAGAATCAGAGGGAGGATCGAGCATGAGGATGAGGCTGATGTTGATGGTGATTCTGATCCTAGTGGTGATGATGATGCCGATGATGCCGATGATGCTGCTGCTGCTGCTGATGCTGATGCTGATGATGATGGTGATGATGATGATGATGCTGCTGCTGATGATGATGATGATGATCAGGATGATGATCAGGATGCTGATGCTGCTGATGATGCTGATGATGGTGATGATGACGTACTGTCGACGATCGGACGGATCGCAACCGCTTCTTCACATGTCCATCGAGAAGCAGAGAGCTCACCGCACCCAGACGCTCTTATGATCCCTCCTTTACTCGAAAGTATTTGGAAGCGCCCCCCCCCCAACATGCCGAACTCAGTTCAGACCAATCGCAACTGCTTGCGATCGGTCCGAAGTGGTCGACCAGCGGTCGGTCGCGCTCGCGCTCCACAGAGGGCCACGACACGCTGTACTGGGCGGGGGGGGGGGGGGGGCGCATGCGAGCACCACCGCCACTGCGGCGTTCGCTGGAGCTCCCAAAGGGGCCAGTCAACGCCGCACTGAGTGGGGGAGACGAATGCGAACACCGCCATTGAGGACTTCGGTGGAGCTCCCTTATAGGGCCACGAGGCGCTGTACTGGGTGGGGGAGACGCATGCGCACACCGCCACTGGGGCCTGCGGTGGAGCCCCCTGTGAGGACACCAGAATTCTGTAATGGGACCTGGGTGGCGGAGACGCATGCGAACATCGCCACTGGAGCCTTTGTTGGATCTCCCTATGGGGCTACGAAGCGCTGTACTGGGGGGGGGCGGCTGTGCGGTGATGCTGATGATGTTGATGTTGATGATGATGATGAGTATGATGATGATGATGATGATGATGATGATGATGATGATGATGATGATGATGATGATGATGATGATGATGATGATGATGATGATGATGATGATGTTGATGATGATGATGATGATGATGATGATGATGATGATGATGATGATGATGCTGCTGCTGCTGCTGATGATGATGATGATGATGATGATGATGATGACGAGGAGGAGGAGGAGGAGGAGGAGGATTAGGATCAGGATCAGGATCAGGATCAGGATCAGGATCAGGATGAGGATGAGGATGAGGACGAGGATGAGGATGAGGATCAGGATGATGAGGATGAGGATGAGGATGAGGATGATGAAGATGCTGATGCTGATGCTAATGCTGATACTGATGGTGGTGCAGATGATGATGCTGATGCTGATGCTGATGCTGATGCTGATGCTGATGCTGATGCTGATGGTAATGCTGATGATGATGATGATGATGATGATGATGATGATGATGATGATTATGATGATGATGATGATGCTGATGATGCTGATGATGCTGATGATGCTGATGCATGCTAATGTTGATAGGTGGAGGGAAGAGGGGTAGGAGGAGGAGTAGGAGGAGGAGAAGGAGGCGGAGGAGGATGAGGAGTAGGACCGCGGGGCGCTGTCTTCGCAAATCAAGGACCCAACACCACAGGATGGTTTGGAGAAAACAATACACTGGGAAGGGATGGGTGGGAGGAGTAGGATGCCAGATCTGGCTAGAGCGCACCTGGCTTGCTTAGCTTGATCGTACCCCCTCCCCCCCTCCCTCTTCCCCTCCAATTCTCGCCCTGCCCCCCGTCCAACTCTTCTCTGCACGCACCTCCCATTGTGCCCGTTACTCTCACTGCTCCCATTCGCCCGTTCTCATTGGCGTCCGCGGCCGCTCTTGTATTCACGTTCTCGCACCCGCACCGCACTTGCACTCGTTCCCACTCGCATATCATGCTCTTTCCCTTCGCTTCCCCCTCTATGCCTTGCTCACTTCTTTGGGATCGGAATCATCCTTTCCAGGGGTCTGAAATGGGATAGAATTGGGTGAGAAACTGCACGTGGCAACTGCGCAAATTTGATCCCGCCTCAGAGGCTTCGAGCAGTGCGCAGGGCATTCCGCAGAACTGTGTGTAAGCCTTGCGGCCTCGTTGGAATCCCAATTGCTCGACACGGCTGACAGGAGGAGGAAGAGGAGGAAAAGAAGGAGGAGGAGGAGGACGATCAGGAGCGAGAGCACGAGAAAGACAAGGGGGCGTGGGCATCTTCCCTTAGCAACCTTCGACGCAGCCGTGGCCTACAGGATGGGCCGCCACTGGAGCTGCTGCCGCTGGCGCCGAAGGCAGCGTGCAGCGTTTTGCCACCCGACGACTTCCAACGATCGCCCGCGATGCGATCCGACCGGCTGCCTCGCCCCCCATCGCTCGAAGCGATCGACTTCAGCCGGCACGAGGGTTAAGACAAATGTGTTGGCCTCGCGTGATGGTAGGCGATACATGGGGGGCAGCGAGAGCTGCAGAAAAGGGGCTCTTCCGGGCCCCTAAAGGGGCCCTTGAGGACCTAAAAGGGGGCCTGCCAGAAATCATTTGTCTCTCCCCACTCGTGGCACCATCATGAAGCGACGCCAAACATATTGGCCTTGAAGAGGCACGCTTGTGGTCTTAGCCTCTGGGCTCTTCACCTTGGAGCGTTCCTCGCTTTGGGCGTTTTCATTGGGGCCTTGGGGTCCTGGCAAAGCGGCTCGCGTTCTGGGCCCACGTTCTTGCGGCTCGAGGTCCCTCGCGGAAGGCCTCTGGCCTTCTGACAAGTTTTCTAAGATTTCCCCGCAGACGCAGAAAACTTCTCAGGAGGCCGCCGCTTTCTGATCATGCCTGCTCCTGCTCACTTTTCCCCTAAGCGCGCCGCCGACGTTTCTCGGGCAGGCAGCATCCGGGCCTCCCAAATGGGGTCCGAGCAGATGGGGGTCGCAGGATCGCGCCGCATCGCCGATGCATCGGCGACGCGGCTCGATGAGGAGCCCGATGTTCTCCGCGGCGGCGGCGCCGCTGCGTCGCCCGTGTCGCCGATGCGCCGCCAGTGCGCCGCCGATGCCTCGGCGACGCACTGGCGACGCGGCGCGCTCCCCCGACCCCGTCTGCAGACTCGGACGAAGAGCGTCGTTTCTTGGACGCGTGAGCACGCGCGATCTCGCTCACGATCCGGAGGAGGCGGAGGAGGAGGAGGAGGAGGAGGAATAAAAGGAGTCGAAGGAGACAGTGGAAGAGGAAGAGGGGGAGGAGGAAGGAGGAGGAGGAGGAGGAGGAGGAGGAAGAGGAAGAGGGGGAGGAGGAGGACATGGAGGAGGAGACTCGGAGGACGGGCCGGCAGCGGCTGCTGCGCTGCCCTCGTCTCCATGTTCGGCCTTCCCATCTCGCTCTCAGTCGGGCGCCGACTTCGGGGGTGGACAGAACCCCCAACAGTGACACGTCGATTTGTGAATTGTCCGTTTTCGGTTCTCGAGAGGGCGCCGTGGCCGTCATTTTCCAGGCTTGCGCCCGCCAGGTTTGAGCCTCAGGTCGTTTTCACTAAGCCACGTTTTACTAAAGGGGGGTCTGTCCATCCCCGACGACTGCGTCCCCTAGTGCCCAGAAGGAAGGGAACACCAAGAAGAGTCGGTGGACATGGAGGGGGGGAGACGCGCCAGCCGAGTTCCCAGAGGACCTGTTGCACATTTTGGGCTCGCAGCGGTCGGCGATGCCTGGGGCCGTGGCAGTCAAGTATGAGGGACGAGGAGGGAGGCGGAGCAGGACGAAGCGGCCAGTTTCTGTAAGGGGCAGGGTTCGGTTGCTTCTGGTCGGTTTTGCTGACCTTTGTCCCCAGCCATCTGAGTTTGCGCATTGAGTACACATCGTCATTGCTTTACGTACTCACCATATTTCCAACCAGCGCCAGCATGCAGCCGACATGACCGTACCGTCGTCATCGCCTCGACATGTTCCTCATTGCCGTCTCCCTCATGTTGGGTGATGTACAAGTATACCGCTATCTCCTTCGTCGAGATCTGAGTCGTCGAGTCATCGCCATGATTTGGACCCGGTCAGTGCCAGTATACGTACGTAGTCGTCTTGGTCCAAACCATCATTCGTTGTGCACCCATTATCCAGTTTGTCCATCCTCAGTTGAAGTGTTGATTGGGCAGAAAGCGAGGATGCGGACAGCGTTGGTTCTGCTAGTCTGGTGTTC